ATCTAACTCAGATCTCAAGTGGCAACCACTACTTGTGAAAGCTTCAGGGGGACTACCAACCTGTAGGCACCTGGGGCAAGAGATTACAGATGGAGACATACAATAGACATTAGAAAAACCTGGAATGAGACTCTGGCAAGTAAGCCATGTGTACAGGGGAGTTGAGAAAGCCACATGCAGGCCTAGGTGTAAGACATATGCTCATAAAAGACCTGAAGCTTTCACCTAAGGCTGATCCCTAGGCTCAGAGAACATCCAGCTAATCAGCAAAGAGAATGTGCAAAGATGGAGATATGACTGTGTCCTCAAAACCCAATTTCAGAATAAATCATACGCCACATAAAGAAACAGGAAAACATGGTCCATTCAAGGAAGAAAATGAAGTGGCAGAAACCACCCCTGAAGAAACAGTGCATCAGATGTACTAGACAAAGAGCTTAAAACAACTGTCTTCAATACACTCAAGAAGCTAAAGAAAAAACACAGTTTTAAAAAACTGAAGGAAATCAGAAAAACTATATGTGAACAAAATTAGAACATTCCAATGGTATTTTTCAGAAAACCAGAACAAACATTCCTAAAATTTATATGGAATCACAAATTTCCCCAAATAGCCAGAGCAATATAAGAAAGGATAAAATATCTGGTGGCATCACATTCCCTGTTTCAAACTATACTATATTAATCAAAGAAGTATGGTACTGCATAAAAACAGACACATACATCAATGGAACATAATAAAAGCCCAGAAATTAACCCACACTTAGTCAATCTATGACATTGGAAGGAATATACAGTGGGGAAATGCCGGCCTCTTCAATAAATGATGTTGGGAAAACTGGACAGATACAAGCAAAAATAAACTCAAAGTGGATTAGGACTTCTATGTAAGGCCTGATATCATAGGCAGATATCTTCTCAGGTAAGGACAACAAAAGAAAAAACAACTAATGGGTATACATCAAACTGAAAAGAAAAGACAACCTACTGATTGGGAGAAGATATTTGCCAATGATATATCCCATAAGATTAATAGCAAAAATAATTCACACAATTCAACATCAGAACAACAATCAATTTTAAAATGGGCAGAGCACCTGATATTTCTCCAAAGAACATATACAGATGGCCAACAAACATGAAAAAAAATGCTCAGTATCACAAATCATCAGGGAAATGCAAATCAAAATCACATTGAGAACCTCACACCTGTTAGAATGACTGCTACCAAAAAGTCAGCAAATAACATGTGTTGGTGAGGATGTGGAGAAGAGGGAACCCTTTTTTGCGTAGCTAGTGGGATTATAAATTGATACAGCCATTATGGAGAACAGTAAAAATAGAATGACCATAGGACTCAGCAATTCCACTTCAGGATATTTATCTGGAAGAAAAAAAAAACACGAAAACACTAACTCAAAAACAAATATGCGCCCCTATGTTCATTGCAGCATTATTTACAATAACCAAGATATGGAATAAACCTAAGTGTTCGTCAACAGATGAATGAATGAAGATTATATATATAATTCAGGTATAAAAAATGGAATCTTGCCATTTGAAACATGGTTGGACCTAAAAGGTGTTATGCTAAGTTAAATAAGACAAATACCATCTAATGTCACTTATATGTGGAATGTTTAAAAACAAATTCAACAAAAGAGAAACAGACCCCTAGAGACAGAGAACAAACTGATGGTTTCCAGAGGGAAGGGAGTGGGGGATAAAAGGTACAAACCTCCAGTTATTTTTTAAGTCATGGGGATATAGTTTAATAAAAATAGTCAATATTTTAATAACTTTGTATGGTGATAGATGGTTACTAGACTTATTCTGGTGATAACATTGTAAGGACTATAAATGTTGAATCACTATGTTGTAGACCTGAAATTAATATATTGTATGTCAACTATAACTTGAAAAATTAGAAATTTGGGATCTGAAAAATACAATATCTGTATTGAAAATTTTCAACAGCAGGTTTAAGTAGGCAGAAGAAACAATTAGCAAACCTAAAAAAGGATTATTAAAATTAACAAGTCTAAGGAGCTGAATGAAGAAAATGGTACCAACATACACGTTGTGGGAGTCCCAGAAGGGTTCAATGCTACTTCCATTCAACATAGATAGCATTGGAAGTTCAGAGTATTAGGCAAGAAAAAGAAAAAAAAAGTCAAGCCATCCAAGTTGGATAGGAAGAAATAAAATTATCTTTGTTCATAGATGACATAATCTCATATATAAAAGCCTAAAAAAATCTTAGAGCTATTTAAACAATTCAATTTGTAATAGTACCAGAAAATAATAAATACTTAGGAATAAACTTAACCAAGGAGGCAAAAGACATCTTGTGTTCATAGATTGGAAAACTTAAGATTTCAGTGCTGCTCAAATTGATTTACAGATTTAATTCAATTCCTATCAAAATCCTATAATTCACATGGGATCTCAAATGGCCAGAACAAGTTGAAGATTTCAAAACTTACTACACAAAGTTTCAGTAAAGATTTCACAATTCCTGATTTCAAAACTTACTACACACAGTTTCAGTAATCAAAACAGTATAGGGCTGGCATACAAACACAGACATATAGACCAACAGAATGGAATAAAATAGAAAGCCCAGAAATAGAGTTCTAGCATACCTGTATATGGTCAAATAAAGTGTGTCAAGATCATTCAATGTGGAAAGGACAGTCTTTGCAACAAATGGTGCTAGGAAAATTGTACAGGCTCATGCAAGAGAATGAAGTTGGATCCTTACCTTATACCATATACAAAAATTAACACAAAATGAATCTAAGAGTTAAAAGTATAAAACCCTTAGAAGAAAAACAGGGAGGGGAGAATCTTCATAATAATGCATTTGGCAATGATTTCTTGAATATGACACTAAAATCAAAAGCAAAAAAAGAAAGATTTGGCAAACTGGATATCATCAAATGTAAAAGCTTTTCTTCATTAAAGGACACTATCAACAGAGTAAAAAGTCAACACACAGAATGGGAGAAAATTCAGTTGACTCTTGAATAACATCAGTGTTAGGGGTGTCCACTGCCACATGGTCAAAAATCTGTTTATAACTTTTGACTCCCAAAAAACTTAAGTTATCCCTCAGTATCCACAGGGTATTGGTTCCAGGACCACCCCAACCCTGCGGATACCAAAATCTACAGATGCTCAAGTCCTCTATATAAAATGGCATAGATCAATGCATACAGTAAGCCCTCCACACCCATGAACTCTCAACCATGGGTGAAAAACAGTATAGTATTTATTGAATAAATCCGCATTTAAATGCACCAACACAATTCAAACTTGTGTTGTTCCAGGGTCAAATATATTTGTAAATCATAAATGTGATAAAGGATTAATATCCTGAATATATAGAAGAGAACTATAAGTCAACAACAAAACACAAAGCCTTGAATACAAGATATTTCTCTAAAGAATATGTATAAATGGCCAACACACAAATGAAAAGATATTGAACATCACTAGTAATTAGAGAAATGCAAAGCAAAACCACAATGAGATACTACTTATCCATTAGGATTGTTATTTTTAAAAAACAAAAAACAGAAAATAACAAATGTTGACCAAGATATAGAGAAACTGGAACCCTTATGCACTGTTGATGAAAAAAGTAAATACAGAATTACCTTATGATCCAGCAATTCCACTTCTAGCTATATACTCAGAAGAACTGAAAGCAGGAATTTGAACATATTTGTACACTAATATTCATGATAGCATTATTCACAATAGCTATAAAAATAAAAACAATCTATATGTTTGTTAGCAGATACAAGGATAAACAAAATGTGGTGTATACTTACAATGGTATGTTATCCAGCCTTAAAAAGAGAAATTCTACATGCTAAAACATGGATGAACCTTGAAAACATTTAAGTTAAAGAAGCTAGACACAAAAGAACATACACTGCATGATTTCACTTAAATGAGGTACCTGGAGTAAAGTCATAGAAACAGGAAGTAGAATAATGGATACCACAGCCAGGGAGTTTGGGATGATGAAAAAGTTCTAGAGATGAATAATGTTAATGGTGTACAACAACATGAATGTACTAATGCCATTGAATTATATAAATAAAATCATAAATTTTAACAAATTATGTATATACTAGAGGCCCGGTGCACAACATTCCTCTGAAATCCTTTGAGCATCTGATAAAAGCTAGAGCCTCTTGCTAGAAAAATGTCGATAAACACAAGATTTCTGTTTATAATTTTAAAGGTTAATAGCTCTCCTGGGGTCCCCTAGGAAGTCCAAAGACCCCCGAGTTAAGGACTTTGGTTCTAAAGTGACCTCTAAGGGATATCTGGCCTCTTACTCAAATAGCAGATGTCAGCTAAGGCCTGCTGCTTTTGTACTTTACAGACACCATTGTTACGGGCATTTACTGTGCTAGACTCTGGCTCTGCCAACTCTCGGAAAAGCTTAACCATCTCCATGAGCACATATCATCAAGAGAATATAAGCAGGGACTAGTTGTACATACCTAAGTCTGCTTTTGTTCAGCCATCCTGGGTTTAACCTGGAGAAAATGAAGCCAAAGGAAAGAAAGAACTCATAGACTTGGTTACTTGGGTGAGTTTAGCAAGAAAACAATAAATCAAGTAATTCTCAGGACTCAAGGTGGGACTGAGGGGCTTTTCTTAAGGTCTTCACCTCTAAAGGTTACCAACACATTCCTGGCCCCTTAGGCCAAGAAATCCTTCACCTGTTTAATCTGGGAGGGGTTGGCATTCTCTGATTGGCTCTACAACTACCATTAGCCATTTGCTAGCAGAATGCTCACAGACCACAGGAAAGCTAACCCTTCCACTGTGGCACAAAGGAAGCATGCCAGTGAACACCCTTTAGTTGGCCCAAAGAGGGGCAAGATGAATGATCTGACCCTGCACATGTGTCCCATGCAGCCTCCCCCTGGCTTGCCTAACATTATATGTATATGTCACCTTTCTCTGCTTACCAGTGCAACGGGCCTTGCATTGGGCCTCACCTAGCTGTGCAACACAGACAAGTCTTCTGCCAGACACTGGACGGCGTCACCTTACCGTCAGAGCAGTGCAGTGCCCTTCCGAGGTAAGAGAAAACCATGGGCCTCCTTGCCCCAGCCCCTGTGTCAATAGCACAGAAAGATGGTGGTGAATGAATGTTTCTCCTCCAATCTCCCATGGTCCCAGGGGTCACATACCCTGCCCTTTCACCTCAGTTCTCCCAAGGGAGAAGGCTCAGTGGTGGCCTTGAATGGGCCAGACTGGGCGCTCCTTTCTCGGAGATGAAGAGGTATAGGTTCCTCTGAGGAAAGCCTGAAACCACAAGAGACTTGACTGGCCCCAGGGTGGGCAGGAGGTGAAGTCCACAAAGTGGTCACCAGATCTTAAGGGCTCCAGCAGCCCCCCTCACTCTTGTTGACCTCCCTCTAGAAGTTATGCTGACCTGAGAGCCTTTGTCCCTGAGTCTCTACCTGTCATCCCTATCCAGCCCCCATTTCCTGTCATACCTCCTTTAGGTGTCCCCTGGGGTGATGGCTCACTACCCCCACATAAGGCCCCTGAGGCTGGCTCCAGGCTCTGCCTCTGCAAACCTGCACCCTGGGTTGAGCCCACTCTCAGGTCCTGCAGTGAGGCAGGCATTGTAGAGATGAGCAGACAAAGTCCCAGTTAGAGGAGGTGGCCTTCTGAAATCTTAGAGCAGCGGTTCTCAACCTGGGGGTCGAGCGACCCTTTTGGGGGTCGAACGACCCTTTCACAGGGGTCGCCTAAGACCATCGGAAAACACATATATAATTACATATTGTTTTATTATGTTCAATTTGTAGCAATGAAATTGGGGGTCACCACAACATGAGGAACTGTATTAAAGGGTCGTGGCATTAGGAAGGTTGAGAACCACTGTCTTAGAGCCTTTCAGTAACAGAGCAGAGATGGGAGCCCAGGTCTGGTAGCACTGGAAGCTCTTCATTGCCCAACATCCTTGGGTTTGCAGTGTTATTGTCACATCTGTCCCCACCCTGCATCCAGCTCCAGCCCCCACAGAGGCAGAGCTAACCCTGCCCTCCTCCTCCTGCAGGCCCGTGAGCACCCAGAACTGCTGGTCAGAAGCCTGCAGCGTACACTGGAGGGTCAGCCTGTGGACCCTGTGCACAGCGACCTGCGGCAACTACGGCTTCCAGTCCCGGCGTGTGGAGTGTGTGCACGCCCACACCAACAAGGCAGTGCCTGAGCACCTGTGCTCCTGGGGGCCCCGGCCCGCCAACTGGCAGCGCTGCAACATCACCCCATGTGAAAACAGTATGTTCCGATCCCAAAGAGCCTTCCGCAAATTCCCCCCAGGGCACCGGGTGCAGAGGGCAGTCCCCGGGCCCAAGCCTGAGCACAGGGCACTGGATCAGGCTTCCCAAGGACTGTGAGCTGGGGCTAGAGTTAGGTATTTTCAGAGGGGTTCATGGGTGTGTGCAAGGACGTGTGTACACATATTCAAGCCACAGAAGATGGCTGAGTGCCCTAAGGGCTCCATCCCGGCCCTGAGAGAGCCAAGTGCCAGATGAAATCAGCCTCCAGCTCACCTGCAGTCGTTTGGCAGGTGCGCAGGGGACAACTGAACTGTGGTCTCGGAGGAGGGCTACTAAGGAGAAAGCACTGTGCACACTAAAGCAGCACGCAGAGTGCCTCCGCTCAGCAGGCCCGGCGCCCATCACGGCTCTGCTTCTCACAGAACAAGGCTCTGCTGACCGCCTCCCTCCTCCCCTGCCCCAGGGCACCGACCACACTGAGCCCTGCCCAGGGATCTGACACTCATTCACTCCCTCCTTCTGCATGTCTTGTCCTCCTCAGCCCAACACCAGCATTTGTATTCCTGTTGGGTGGGGATCTATTTTTTATTCCTCTGGACCCAAAACAAATTAGAGGTGTTTCCCCCACAGGGAAGACGACAAAGCGTGAGGCAGACTAGGAAACTTACCTGGTGCAGTGCCATTTCCTCCCAACAGGGACTCCCTGGGCATCAGATTCCCAGCGCCGAGGCAGGAGACCTGGAGGCCAACAGTCCCCTTACCTTCAGTCCTGGTGGCTTCCTCTACACTGGGGAGGGTGGGGCTGACCCATCTTGGTGGTAGGAGCTCACCACACGGAGGACCAGTGTTCAGTGAAAGGAGTTCAGACTAGGTCAATCCGGGATGTCCACAACCCAAATCAGCACCAGTGCTGAAGAACTTGCAGTCTGTGCCAGTACTGAACTAGAAGGTCGTGGTGTCCCGTAAGGCCTGGTGATGAGAAGTAGAGAGGCACAGGTGGAGAATATGCCAAGACAAAGCTGCTAGGGGGGTGAGGCCATCAACTAGGGCCTCACTCACATGCTACCTTGCAGTGGAACAAAATGTAGTCCTTCTGGAACCCATCTCGAGGAGGAGAGTCACTTACTAAAATACCATGGGAGACAGCAAGCTTGCCTGGGAGGTGAGGCGGGCCAAAGACAGGGAGCTCACAGGCACCGGCAGGAAGCGGGGCTCTCAGAAAGGCCCCGTGTTGGCAGCCAGGGGCAGGAGGGGTGGTGGCTGAGCTCACGGGACAGCAGTGTCCCCTCCAGCACAGGAGTCCGGTGCCCACGGCAGACCCCAGGAAACAGCCAGTTGGCCAGAGCCGTTAATCTCTGTTTCACGTTTCCTTTCTGCCCCCACCCCCTTTCCCAGTGGAGTGCAGTGATACCACCAGGTACTGCGAGAACGTGAAACAGCTGAAACTCTGCCAACTCAGCCAGTTCAAGTCTCGCTGCTGTGGAACTTGTGGCAAAGCGTGAAGAGAGGGCCTAGGGAAGACCGACCCTGGCTGCACCAAGGACTCACGCAACCACCTTGGACAGAACTTAAGCTTTCTTCGTTTTATTTATTTCCCCCTCCCTGCCCCCAACCACGCACACCCCCATCCAACCCCCACTGCCCACCCGCCCCCCCCCCCAGACTTGAGGACCTCAGCATGCCTTCTCTTTCAGTTCGATGGAGGACAGAATGTTGGGAACAGACAGGACAGAGGTCTAAAGGAGGTTGCAGAGCAGACCGGGCCAGACAGTGGGAGCTCCCATGCAAAGCTGGCTCCCTCCCAAACCTGGGTCCTAAAGAGACCTGGAAAGAGGCAGGGACAGCATGGAGCCAGAGCTCCCAAGGAGGCAGGTGGGCAGGTCCCAGATGGTTTGTGAAGCATTGGTCCCGACTTTGGACACCGACTGGGTCTTTCCCACACACTGTTAATGCAGGAGCGCGCTGTTCCTGTCTCCTCCGCTGCCTCTGTCCCTAGGCCTCAGAAAGGGCGAGGGGGGCACCATGCTGAGGCAGAAGCAGCCCAGAACTTAGTTCTTCTGCTGGAAGGGTCGGTGGAGGGCACAGCAGAAAGGACTCAAAACATGGACATGTAGGGGAAAAGGAGGAGACAGTCCAAGTAGGCCTAAAGGACACAGTGTAGAAAGAGGGAGTAGAGGGCCAGGGGGACAGAAGCAAGAAAGCCTGTGCATGTTCCTCAGGGGAGAGTAGAGGGAGACAGGGGAGGAGTGAGTAGCCAGGAGGCTCCCAGAGGGGCTCTGAACCCCCTGGGCATGGGACCCCGGCAGGCTCAGGGGAGGGGCCGCTCGGAGCTCTGCTGCCCTCATGGCTCAGGCTTTGGTATGAGACATGCCCTCCACGGGGTGGAGGGGAGGCTCCCTCCCCACACTGTCTCAGACAACTTTCTGCCTGTACACCCGCAGCAAAACCACCCCTGGCATCTCTAAGTCCGGAGTCCCCCAGCCTGGAACTCACTGCTGATGTGAGCCAGGGGCATCTGAGCATGTATGGCCTTTGCTGCCCCACTTAAGAGCCAGGGACTAGAGTCAATTTTCAAAAACCAATTCATTATCATCAATTTGCCCGAGAGCAGCCAGCAGGACATAGCAGCCACTTCATTCCAGAGCTGTCCGGGGGCGGGGGGGGACAGTAGGCTTGTGGGAGCCCTGCCCAGACCACAGTGAGTTCCCTCCTGTCTATAGAGCAGGTTGGGGCGGGGTGTGGGGTGCAATGACAAAGCCAAAAGATAACTGAAGCTTCCAAGACTGTCCTCCAAGACTTTCAACCCATTCCCCACACACAGTGAACTACCAGGAGTCCACATATGCCAGTTTTGGTGATTGGGCTAATTGCTTATTCAGCAAGTGGCTTTGGACGCATGATTTTGGCCACCTCCCCGAGTGGCCACAGTTTAGTTGTCATGGCAGGGCGGGGCGGCGACAGTCACTCACCTTCAGAGAAAGCACCACTCCCTCGGGGCCTCCGCTGACATCAGGGCTGTGTTTTCCAGCCTGCAAGGAAATTGGAGGGGAGACGACGTTAACCTGTGTCCTCCCCAGGCGAGCTGTGGACAGTTAGGTGGGTTTCCTTCCTCCTCACCACAAAAATGGGCTCTAAGAAATCATGTCACTAAAAATCAGTGTAATGTTTATTTAAAATAAAAGAGAATGTTTTCTATGTCTGTATATCTTTTGTGAATATTTATTAGGATTTCTTGTATAAAAAAAAAGTGCAATATTAATAATTGTACATTGTCATCCAGAAAACCAAGTATTTGGGGGACTTTTTAGTAACTTCTTGCAGTTGTGTTTCTGTAAACTCTGGTGATTATTGTATTGTTCCTCTTTTTAATAGAACCTGATGTTTAACTCTGGATCCATTCACTGTGTACAGAAGACATTGTAAAAACTAACATGGGATGATGGGCAATGAGAGAGAATTCATTTGTGACACAATAGTTAACACGTGGGGTGAAGAAGACACATTCTATCCTATTGCTAATGTGGCTGGTTATTTCTAGTTCAATAGCTGTTGAAAACCACGGGCCAATATTCACATTTCCTACACAGCAGGTGTCCTCAGCTCCCCCGTGTCAGGCTGGAACCTCTGAAATGGGTTGCAGAGCCAGCTTGGAGGGCCTGGGTTCGGGGTAGGAAGCCGTGTGCCCCTTGCATGACATGAATGTTCATTTATTGTTTGTTCTGTGAATTGTGACTCAGCAGCGCCCCAAGATTATTAGGGCTGCTGAATAATGTGGAAGGAGGCACTTCCTCCTCTAAAACACAAAACTGTATTTATATTTTTTGTACAGATAATACAGCTTATTTATTTAAATCGTGTCGTCTGAGTCTCTCTTAAGCTCAGCCCTCCCATCTTGTGTTGTGTCGGGGCGAGGGTGGTTCTGGGCCACTCATCTGTGTCTGGTACAGAGGGAGAATTGCAGTTTTCAGCTTCACAGGGGGTGTTGGGGGCCCAGGCCTGGGGGGGCCGGCTCTGTAAATGAAGCCAGAGGGGCTATGGCTGTGGATGTGCACATATTCAGCCTCAGTGCTGCCCTTGACAATCGTCTTATTTCCGGCCCTATAGAGTGGGAAGACGGGAGCCGCAGTACCTTTGGGAAGAGAAGAAGCACAGGCATGTGTGGGTAGGTGCAGGCCTGGGTGCGGGAGGAGCCTCACTCCAGGCCAGGCTTATGTGCCGTGTGCAGTGTGGAGTAACCGCATGCTGAAGTTGTGCGTGTATACTATTGGCAGGGGCTAACGATCCTGCCACAGTTAATCCTCACATCAACCCTATAATTATCTCCATTAACATATGAGAAGCCCAAGGTCATCCAGCTGGTGGAACCGCTCCAAACGCCAGTAGTCTGGCTTTTTAGCCAGAGCCTCGCTCTTACCCACTGTGCTGTCTCCAGCTCCTCCGTGTGAGCGCCGACCATGCGTGGCCACCCTGGCGTGTGCCCCATTCCTCCTTACTGCTTGGAGGTCGCTAGAGATGACAATAGGACATTTTACGGGGGTTATTTTATCCCCTAAAATCAACTGTGGCATTTTGGGGCTCCTAGCTCCCTCTTTTTAAATAAAGCTACTGTGGAAAGTGTCAAAACAAAACAGCATATTACCGAGCTCTTCATGAACAGGCTCTGGGGGACGTCAGCGCGTCCCCAGGCCCAGACACTGGCCATGCATGGAGCTCTGTGAGCCGCCCCAGCCAGAAAGCCAACCTCCAGCCCGTTTGCCAGCACTGACTTCAGCGCATCACACTCTGCTGAGCAGCATAAAAATAGACCAAAAAGCTCGTCTTGAAATTCCAATCATTTCCTAAGGCATTTTAGATTTTGCCAATGCTAGAACTATAAATACATACCAGCAACCAAACAATGCGCTACAGAAACTCCAGGAGAGGGCGGATGAGTCAGATGCCAGAGCAAAAACCCAGGAAGGCTAAACCATGGAAAGGGCTTGAGTAGAGCACATGGAAAATTTTCCAGCCAAAATCACAGAGCACAGCAGAGTAAAGGAGACATACCTTCCAAGATGCCACCAACCACAGTGTAAAAGTTTGGGATGTTAACCACAGGCCAGTCTTAGGGTTGTAACTCCTCACACTACAGTCCCCTGCTTGGCCTCAGATGTTTCCAGGACTTTGGCAAGATGAGCCCACGAAATCTGTGAGTCCACTGAGACCAGAATAGGCAACCATCATCCAAGCTCATTTATGCCTCAACTTCTTCACCTTTCAAAAGAGGATACCTCATAGGATAGGGTTGTGGTGAGAAAACAGTTACTTCATGTCGAGGAAATATAAGGGTGCCTGGTGTATCATTGATGCACTCACTGAATGCTGATTGCTATTATCACCATCCAGGTTACTCAGAGAGAAGGGGAGGTGAAGGATAGGCTGGCAGAAATATCACATTACTTCCCATGGTCAACACCGGAAGATTCCCGTGTTTTCATTCTTGATTGAGAAGGACATTAGTCATTCATTCAGAGTTCACTACTGCACAATAGTGTAAACACCAGGGGCATTAGCTAGTAAACCAAGCTCTGTGTCTTGGAAGAAAACAGATCAGCCCATGTGGCTAAATCAAAGACTCACCAAAATACTGACAAACTTCCAGAAATACCTCCCAAGACGTTATCTTATGATCCAAATGTACAGCCTAGTCTCAATTCAAAAGACCCAAATGCCCCGGCAGATGTGGCTCTGGTTGAGCGTCAACCTATGAACCAGGAGGTCACAGTTTGATTCCTGGTCAGGGCACATGCCCAGATTGTGGGCTCGATCCCCAGTCGGCAGGAGGCAGCTAATCAATGATTCTCTCTCATCATTGATGTTTCTATCTCTACCTCTGAAATTAATAAAAATATTTTAAAAGATACCCAAATCTGCACATAAGGGCTATTTCCTTTAAGTTACTTTTAAAAATGATGAAATGTCCATTCATGAATAAACAAGTAAAAGCAAAATTAAGGATATTTCACTTACCTTGTGGTAGTTTTTCTCATAGGCAGCAGGCTATTGTACACTCGCCTCAGGTATTATCCTGCAGATAAACCCAAAGGAAATAATCCAATTTTATTAATGGTTCTCAGCTAAAATTAGACAAGTTAGATCTCAGTAATCTATCTGTGGGACTCTCCAAAATAGGTAAATTCATCCCCAAAGGGTAAGAGTTAGGGTTGGGGTGGGGTAGAGAGAAGGATGACCCTCTTGGAGAATAACCCAGTGAAAACTGATCTGTTGGTGAATTAATCCAAGAAAGGATAAATTAGGAAACTAAATAAGGTGACACCTCCTTGCTTTTGTCTCTCTCTGTCCCTCATTAACTGAGTCAGCTATGATTTAAAGACCTTAGGATTCAGACTCAGAATGTATTGAATGTGAGTTAAATCAAGGAAGGTTCCCTACCCAGGTCCCAGACTGCCAACTAAGAAAATATTGATCTTAATGCAAACCTTGAAGTAAACAGTAGAAAACTAAATACCCAATGAATTCTACCAATCTTCTAAGCTTCACCTAAAATTGTTGTCTGTCCCACACACATCCATCCTGTCCCTTTAGAGCTGCTTTTACAGGTCAAATGTATATGGGTTGACCAGTGAGTGTTATCTTTAGTCAAACCTCAGCTTCATATTCATAGCACCCCAAAGTTCTCAACTGTTTTTCGCCACCCCTAAGGGGGAGGGAAGATATTGCTAACCAAGCCTTTGCTAACAAGAACTGCGCTGTCACCTTGCCTGTCAACTAGAGATTTACCACTTCGCTCAGATGGGTTCTGTGGAGCACCTGGTCCCAATCAGCCACGTGTCACGCTTCTGATAACACAATATACAGATGTCACTCACCTCTGTGTTTTCCAAAGGCGAGATCCATCTTCAACGAAGGATTTCCCAGGCTGCTCCTAAAGACATGGTTTATATATGTGTAAACAGAAATTAAATGTGAAGTTGTAGGTAAGTGTAGAGCAAGCAGACAGTGGGGAACGGTTCTCCTGCCGAATATAAATAATGTTTGTTTGAACAGAAGGCTTCGGAGGGCCTGGGAGGTTAAACAGTCATCATTTAGACCAGAAAGCATGCCTGTGAAACGTGCCTCCTTCTTTACGATGACATAAACAGCCCTCCTCCAGGTCTGCGTGATGGCCAGGGGTGACCTCGTTACAAATCCCAGGAAGAATAGTAGACAAGCTGTGAACAACTTAGTTACCAGGGGAGCAACTCTAGGAAATGTTTAATGATCAGAGGCAAGGAGTGGGGTGGTGAAGTGTGTCATGGGCTTGGTTTTCTTCCCCACAATCCACCATCATTTTTTAAATCATAATGAAAGGGCCAGGCAATGACTTAGCTGAGGTTTTCCAGTTGTCCAGGTAGCTCTGTCTCATAGCAGGAGCTCAGCAGTCACAGTGCCAGGGCACAGAGCAGCTGCCAGGGCCACGGACCATTTGCTCCTGAGCTGAACTGAAGATACTCAAGGTAACTCCCTGAGAGCAGGCCTTGAGCAAGCCTGTGAAGAATTTGCCAAGTTGCTTAACCTCTCTGAGCCTCAATTCCCCACCCAGATGGGAAGGCAACACAGAGAAAGGGTTGTGTGCGGATAAAGTGAGATGACATCTGCTGAGGTGGTCGGAACTTGAGAGAACACTACACCATACACTGCATCTACTGTCCGGTCAGTGAGCTTTCCCAGGCTCCCTGGGCCCTGCACTCTGGCTGTGTCCTAACCTCCCATTTATCAAGCAGCCAAACAATCTCAACCACCAGTGACCAGGATATTTCAACGGAGTCAACACTGAGGCACTGCAGGATCCACCGAGGTTTCTAAATCATCAAAGAAAGGGCCAACCACATGTTTACAGGCATGTGTATTTTATTGTATTCTGAACTTATTTGAAAAAATGTATGACGAGCACTTGGCAGTGTTTCTCCATGTGTGTTCCAATAGGTTTTACACAATAAAAGGGCTGTATTGTCAGAGTTGGAAACTGTTGTTTCTGCCTGCTCAGCATTCATCCCTCCCTACCCTGGAAACTATACCTCAGTTTTCTTTTAGGTACTCACTCCACCCCCAGCCCCTACAGTTCATGTAGCTCACACAGGAATGACCCCCCACACACACACATACACACGCTGCTCTGGCCAGGGGGAGCCCCAATTCCGGCCTGAATGATGCATATTTTCTATCACCCTGGCCATGATAATCAGTGCAGGGATCAGTCCGGGCAAAAGAGACACAATTAAGGGAATTTTACTAGAACCACTAGAAAGGAGAAGCCCTTTAGTTTAAAGGATGTTGTAAGCTCAAAATTGCTAGAGCCCTGGCCAGTATGGCTCCATTGGTTGGGTGTCTTCCCTGCACTGAAAGGTTGCTGGTTCCATTCTCAGTCAGGGCACATGTCTGGGTTGCAGGCTTGATCCTCATAGGAGGTGTGCAGGAGGCAGCCGATCTATGTTTCTCTCACATCAGTGTTCTCTCTCTCTCTCTCTCTCTCTCTCTCTCTCTCTCTCTCTCTCTCTCTCTCCTTCCCTCCCTCCCTCCCCTTACCCCTGTCTCCCTTCCTTTCTCCTTCCTTCTCTCCCCTTTCTCTCTGTCTAAAATCAAAAAGAATTTCTAGAAATTACCTAAGAAGGCAAGGCAGGAGAAAATAAAGCCAGAATATCAAAGGCCAAGCCCTTATCCCAGCATTTAAGCCCCTAGATCCGGCTGTGCCTAACTGCTAATCCATACAATGGGTTACAGAAAGGTAAACAAAGTTCCTGTACTATAGAGCCTTCAAAATATTAGTGTGCGTCATGAAACGCCAACAGGAGGATCTAACAGCCAGCCTTTCC